TTATTGTTATGCACTGAATATACACTGAAAAAAAATTTGAAATGCAAACACTTGTATTTGCCCCATTCATCATGAGCTGAACTCAAAGATCTAAGACTTTGTACACAAAAAGGCCTTATTTCTCTCAAATATTGTTCACAAAATCTGGTCAAAATCTGGTGTTTAGCGACGCACTTCTCCTTTTTCCAAGGATATCCATCCACCTCACAGTGTGTTCGGCATATCAAGACACTGATCAGAAGCATGGGTTATTGCACCAGGTGTGTCCTTAGTCTGGCCACAATAAAACCACTGGAAAATGTGCAGTGTCACTGTATTGGGGGGTTTCCGGAAACCAGTTCAGTATCTGGTGTGACCACCATTTGCCTTCACGCAGTGCAACCACATCTCCTTCGCATAGAGTTCGTCAGTTTGTTTGATTGTCGGCATGGCAAGAACTTGGGATGTTTTCCAGCGTCCAGAATTGTGTACAGATCCTTGCAAACATGGCCGTGCATTATCATGCTGCCAACATGAGGTGATGGTCGTGGATGAATGGCACAGCAATGGGCCTCAAGGATCTCGTCACGGTATCTCTTGTGCATTCAAAATGCCATCAATAAAATTACACCTTGTGTTCGTTGTCCATAACACATGCTACCCAAAACCATAACCCCACCACCACGGGCCACTCGATCCACAGCGTTTGACATCAGCAAACCGCTCACCCACACAACGCCATACACGCTGTCTGCCATCTTGCCCTGTAACTTGCTGTCAAAACTTGCGACATCTGTGGCATTGTGCTGTGTGATGGAACTGCACATTTTTCCAGTGGCCTTTTATTTTGTGGCCAGCCTAAGCGCTCACCTGTGGCAATACCCATTGCTGTCTGATCACGCCATCTTGATATTGCCACACACAGTGAGGTGGATGGATTATCTCGGCAAAGGAGAAGTGCTCACTAACACAGGATTTTGACAGATTTGGCTGAACAATATTTGAGAGAAATAGCTTTTGTGTACATAGAGAAAGTCTTAGATCTTTTGAGTTTCAGCTCATGATGAATGGGGGCCAAAAAATTTCAACTAAAACTGTACAATGAACCCAAATAGTGAACAGGGCTGTTTATCGGAGAGTGAAGGCTCTGTGAATATAGTTTGTGTTCAGGTATTCAAAGTTTAGATCCAATAATACAAACTTTAAAAATAACAGTTTCTTTAACATAACTGAATGAAACTGAGAGCTATATTACAACCTATAAAATCAAGAATGCCTCACAATCCCCCGTGAAGCTTGGGCGACCCCCAGGTTGGGAACCACTGCTAAAAACTATAGCTTATATACAAGTTCACAAGTTGTGATGTTTACCTTTTTTGTCCTTTATTTATTTATCTTTGTTTGTTTTTATGTCCAAATACAAGAGGTTATTTACAAAAGCAAACAAGGCAATATCTCATCTTCGCAGATTGCATAAAGAGGACAACGAGACAGATATCAGTGAGAACATCAGTGAGCCAGTGAGGGAAGCCAGTCTGCGTGCCCACTATCACAATGTAAGCATATTGTTCCACAAGGTTTATTTAGCTTAGCATTTCTGGGGTTCAGTAGTTGTTATTTCCTGAAATCGACTTTTCTAATTTTCTGTGCAATTTCTTCTCCTGGATTCCAGCTGTTGAATGAGATCAGTGCTGTTGTGACCAATCCCAGTGCTCCGTTTCGACTGCACAGACAGAAGAACCCGTCTGTCGGCCCGGCTGACTTTCAGACCCTCCTCCCCACACTGGAGGTCTGGGCCCAGCAGCTCCACCTACTGAAGGTAAACGCCACCTGCCTGCAGGCTTCAATATCGCCTCCTACCACAGTGATTGATGGGAAAAACCAGGAAGGGATTGATTTGAGCTTAAAAGTCAAGCCTGAGTAACCATTATTGTGTGTGTTTGCTGGTAGGATCTGCAAAAGGGTTTAAATAAACTGAGCGGCAGACTGACGCCCTGGCAGCCGTCTGATGTCGGCCATAATGATGCAGAAGTGGTGAAGGTGGAGGACATGATGCTGCTGGTGGACACCATGCTGGAAAACACCTCAACTGACAGTGAGAAGGTACAACTGCAACGCTTTTGTAACTACTCACTCAAGGTAGTGTTTACATGGTGCATTGGTGGTTGCTTGGACAGGGTAAACTCCAGCGAAACCTAATTATTTAAAAGTGTTTTCTGTGGGGTTGTAGGTACTCAGGAGTCCCACTCGATACACTCTGGCCTCCATGGTGTCTCACTTCCAGAAGCTGTTTGACGTGACCTCGCTCAGCGGAGTGTACCCACGTATGAACGAGGTCTACACCCGGCTGGGGGAGATGACCAACACCATGAGGAACCTCCGAGATGTTCTGGACCTAGGTAACCCCTCAGCTAGAATCCAAGCTTCCGGAGTCAGTTGTGGATGTTTGCGCAGCAGTTCAGCGGGAATGAAATGATGCTCAGTCGATGTTTGGGGTTTTGTGTCAGACAGCAGGGCTCCTTCTGCCGAGGTGGTGAACCACGTGGCCAGACTGGTTTCCTCCACTGAGCACACTGCTGGATTCCATAGTCTGCTGGGAGATGCTGACATTGACAGGTACACGCATAAAGAACACACACATATTGTTTGGAATATCAGACACCCAAACTGCTCCTTCAAGTCTTTTGCTATTGTTTTTCAGTATCATCGTCAAAGTGAAGCAGCACGAGGAGTTCTTCCCTGCTTTCCATGCTCTCATCACGGACATTTTACAGACTCTAGGTAAATATGACACAATAAACACACCTTGACACCTGTGTATTAGCAGGTAGCATTGCAGTACTTTTCCTATGGGTTATTTTAACATCCTTTATGAAATAGAATTTACTACATTTACTAATATGTGTGTTTCAGGAGTAAGTCACCTGGACGACATCCTTCCAGCTGTGAAGTCTTTGAAACAAACAGCACGGTGACACACTGACTGATCTGAGGGCTGTGCTTTGTTCTATGTAATAATTGTGGAGTGATTTTTGTTTTTAATAAAAAACTGTTTGATAAATGATTCACAATGAATATCTGCATTAATGCTGGAGAATAAACAACAAGACGGGAGCATACTTAATTACATATTTTATTAAAGTTACCTACTGCAGATTTCAGATTTAGCACAGGTATGGGTGTTGATGACTAAAATTCTCATCTGCCGAGTTTTCAATGAAAAAGACTAGTGTGTAGGTTCTAGTGGCTTCTAATGGTGAAGTTCCAGATTGCAAATAACTGAGCGCTGCTCTGCGCTGCTCTGTCTAACACCAAAAATTAAGACTAAACACATAAACACTTGCACCAAGAAGACATCATAGCTCAAAGAGTAGATCTTTGAATTTTCCTGCTCAGATATGGTTGATGAAGGTCATTATTCACAGCACTAACTGCTTAAACACTGTAACGTTGCTCTTGTGAAGCAGTAATGGCAGCAATAAGGTTACTCAGTGATATATTGATGGCTGGTACAGTGGCTGTTTGCTCTGTCAGTAATTAGCTGTAGCTTTATGATTACTGGAATGTCTCTGCACCATATGACACAACTACATGTTGGTAAATAATAAGTGAAGGTGCCCACACTGTGCCAGCTCTGCGCAAATTACGCATGTTGGAGTCTGAGTGTGCGCTAATGCCTATTTTATATTTATTATATATATATATATATAATAAAATATATATAATTTTAACCCAGTATATTTATTTTGATGATTACTCATAGCCATTCATGAGTGAGACAGATTTTAAAGGATCTTTGCAGTTTGTGTGCTGTACACCCATGAGTCACACAAGAGCTCCAAAATGCAATTCTCTTGACATGTAAAACTCAGAAAATATTAAATTAATAAAAAAAGAAATACATTCATATTCAATAAATGACATCACTCTGTTCCTCAATGAAATTAATGATATTTCATGTTGAGTTATGAGTTACGTTTACATTTATCAGTTATCAACAATAACTTCAAATAAATAAACAACATGAATTAATATTAAAGCAGTTCACTAGTGATATTGAATTGTTGTATAGTGTTGCAGTTATTCACTCTGAACACTGGAGGGCTCTATTGAACTGAACACTTGTATTGTTAGATTTCAATTCTTAACATTCAGATTTTTTATTTTTCTCTTTCTTTTCAGCTAGTTTTCATTTTTATTTCACTTAATTTATTGTTTTCATGCCTAGTTTGAGTTTATTACAATGACCTTGGTCTCTACATCCTACTTGAATCCATGCTGGAGCCACCCTTCCAGTGGGATCAAGATCATCCCGATTTTTAGCATAAAAACTATCCTAATCTCCACCTTAGAGGTTTCAAATACCTAAAAACAACATTTGATCTGGATTTTGGATTACCACATCCATATCCCAGTATACTGTACTCTACTATACTAATAATAATATTTTTTAAAAACTAGTATAACCATAGTAAAACACACTATCAAATATTATTGTGCCTGTTTTTTTTTTTTTTTAAGAATAACTTCACTGGCCTAACATAGTAGATAGAATAGACTTTAACTGGAACACAGAATATTTATTTTTTTATATCTCTACCATTCATAAGTGAGACTTATTTAAAAAAAGAAAAAAGTCAGTGTATGCACATCCACAAAGTACACAAGAGATCCAAATGTAATTCACTTGCATGTGTAAAACCCAGAAACTTAGATATTAAATCTAAAAGTGACACCACTCTTTTCGTAAAAAAAAAAGAATATTCATGTTGAGTTATTGAGTTACGATTATGTTTATCAGTAATCAACAACACCTTCAGTAAAAAAATAGTTACATAGTGAATGCTGAAAGCTTTGCTCAGCTAAAATGTCTATGAAATGAACTCTGAGTCAGGAGTCACTAGCCAGATACCATCACCATGGCAACCTTTAATTGGAGTTAGGAGCACACAGCTGATGAGATTATATCTTTTTGACATACATGGCAGGCAGATAAACAGACACAAACACATTTTCAAGTATTTTTCAAGCTTTAAACCCATTTCAAAACGTATAGTGTTTAACATCTTTATGACATTTATTCAACTTTTCAGTCTAATCATTAAATTATAGTAAATAAATGAAATCCAACAGCTCAGATTAGCTCACAACCATTGCAATTTATGCAATTCATCATTTGGAAACTAATTACTATGAATAGGACTATATATCATAAGGTTTGAAAGTGGACTCCACTTTTCCAACTAGAATACTTAATAAGTTACTTTATACAAATTAAAGCCAACAATTCAGTTTGATGCCAGCTTTTTAGCAAACCTTAACATCTTCCACCTTTTTCAGATTTTAATATTATTAAATTTGTATATCTTAAACTAAATTGCTCAATTTAGCATGAGCTTTTCAACAAACCTTCAAATATTCCACATCTTTTACACAATTTCAAAGCCAGCAGTTCAGTTTAGTGTAAGGTTTTCAGCAGCAAGCTTTCACACCTGCAATTTCTGAAGGAATTGCATTCTCTACTTAATATTATACTATATTATTTGCAGTACTCTTCATTGAACTTAACACTACCATTTTATTAGATTTAAATCCTTAAAGGTCCAGTGTATAACATCAAGGAAGATCTATTGACAGAATCTATTGTAAGATAAGGTATAAGTCATAGGTATGTTTTTATTAGTTTTTGCTAGACGCCACTAAATCCTACACACTTGAGATTGAGACCGTTTCAAAACCAGTTAAAAATGTCTTGTAGTATGTTTAAAGTAAGAATCTTAGCTCAATAAGAAGATGATAATGAAGGAATAATAGTTGCACGATTAAGTGAAAATCATATTTATTTGCAGGTGGATGTGGCAAATGAATATGAGGTCTTCTACAATAAAAAACAAGCAAATAGTCATTTAACACTACAATGTGCTACACTGTACAGTACATATGAATGTTTGCGTGTATACAAAAATAGACATATCAAAACACATTTACACCATGAGCTAGTATGTACATACCACAAAAATAACATCAGATGACACAAGACTACTCACAAGTGCAGATTCATAGGGAAATCATATTATTTAAGCAAATGAAGCAAACTACACTCACTTTTGCCTTTTTTTGAAAGAATGACATGCAGAAGAGCAGAAAAGCATCCATGAGCCAAATCTCTAATCTGATTGGGAACATTGGGAGGTGTCATAATGCCTTGACCTTCGACCTCCTGTTGCTCCAGTGCAGCTGTTCAATGGATGGTAGAAAGCTGTGGTTGTGATGAGGATGCCCCTGATTTGCATAAAGTAGCCTAGACCTCAACTTTATGCAAATGAGGAGCAGCAATCTCAAAATGCACTGCCAGAAAGCTAGCATCTCCCATAGATTAAGTTCTTGCTGGTAGAATCTGCCCTTATTGACAATGACAGTGTCTGTGAAGTGCTGTTTTAAAAGAAAATACTGACAGAGAATACACATCCTGATCTAAGCATAATGGTGGCACATTCTTCTCTACAACACAATATTTCAGCAGAAACAAATATTTTTGCTACAGACACAGTACACCAAACATGAGCAGCAAAGTTCAAGTCAGTCACAGTTAACACACTATAGTGGATAAAACAAAAAACATGCATATCTAATACACATCTGCTGCCTAAGAACCACTAAACATTTGGCGTAGTATTTATTCACATCAAATAAGAATAATATTAAATACTATTTTAGGAACTATTTTCTATAGGAAGGAAGGATTCTACTCTCATCATTAATAATATGTGCTGCGGCTTTCCAGTACCTCTGCTGTGTTTGGAAAATGAAGGAGGTTTATTCCAGGTCCGTGATCCGGATGTGCACAAATAAGGAGGAGGGAGGAATACTGGTTCCATCTTTGGACAATAAGTGAATGTGACGATAACCTGAAAACACAAAACAATCGCAGGGATTAGGAGAACATGGTTCTTTGACTTATTTATTATAATAACTGTCATTAATAAATGGTAAATAGTTAATTAAATTATAGTTAATAGTTATTGCACTGTTAACAAACAATGAAATGATCATTAATAATATTTACTAATTGCTAGTAATGCTGTTATTTGTAAAATGTTACTGTAAAATTTATTTATTTGTAAAATTATTATTAAAGGCTATGATTAACTTTATATAATGCCTATAGCTGATAAGAGACAGTCATTCTAAATACATTAGTAAGCTATTTATTAACAGTTCATTGGTGCACACATTTTATCAGCTATGATAAGTATTTGTTTATTATTACCAAATTATTGGTATACCTTTAAGAAATTATAAACAAAAATCTACAAACTAATTATTAACAAACTGTTACAAATATCTAGTCCACCTATCTATGTAATGTTTATAAACTGTCAATCGGATAAAGTTGCAATTGATGATTACAATTCCTTGTCAAATGGTCTCATATAATTAACAATATATAGTTTATAAACTAATTATTTCATATTACACAAACTAAGTTTGGAATATAGTGAGTTTGACTTTAGAAGAAGCATTTGATATTTAACTTAGAGGGAAAGTATAACTAACTAACTTTAAAACTAACTCTTTTATTTGGTTTTCACAGAAATGAATGAAATGCTTGGGCCAGCCACAAAACTTTAGGTTCTCAAATAAGCAAATTATTTAATTTAATTGACTAAATTGTATTTGTTTTAGTTGATGAAAACTCTAGGCAAGTAGTTTAGTCTTATTTCATATTTATCAATCATCATTTCTATTTTTTAATGATTATTATTACAGTGACCTTTCATATACTAGAGTGTAAAGTACACTTGTGCTGTTCTTTATGATTTCTTTTGAGGAACTTTTAAATATAACCATTTGGAATGACACAGCAAATTCCAAACTGGTTGAAACATCAACCATACAGGCATGTATTAACACAACATATGGCTGTTGCAATATGAAAAGAATTCATCACATTTTTAACACATTGTGCCCCTCAAGCGAATGTTTTTGTCTGCTGTATGACATAATAATAGTTACGTGCTACTTTTTTCTTTTTTTTCCATATGGAATATATAGACAGGAGCCCCTTGCATGTGTGTACTGAAAATAATGAAGACGCATACATTGTATTGCTTATTCTAGGGCATTTTCTACCATTTCAGTAAAAGTAGTATTAATTAATCAGATTTTTCATGTGATATAAAAATGTCAAAGGTGTACTATTAAGATACTTGGTCAAAGTATGTCTGTACCAGATTTCAAGAGTTTAGACAAATCAGAACAAATGTTATGGCATTTTTCGATATCATAAACGTAGTCTAAACTGACCTCCAAATGTAATTTATTTAATTTACAACATGGGCTGCAGTGCTGCAGGGGCAGATCTAGAGAAATATTCACGGGGTGGCATGGAGACTTTAAGTGATGGCAGAACTATATGCTGATTTAACAGCAATCACATATATCAATATTTGCTTTTGTTTAACTTTTCTAATTCATTGTGATTTTTTTTTACCACAGAATCCCGGGAGTGCTTTTTTCGGAGGGGACAGTAAGTTACATACTTAACCTACCTCAGTTGTCCATTCAACTATTTGTTGGCAAAAATTGCCCCAGTCCTAAGCAACTGCTTATATCATTTAATAGGCAGAGCCAGCTCTGCAGTAAAGGTACTGGACAGCGAGAAGAAGTTTGCTAGAAGAAGCTATAAGAACTTAACCCAGTTCTTCATTCTTACCTTGCTGCATGCAGCTGAGAGAAAGTGTATACTGCCCCACAAAGTCATTTTTAGATGTCTTGTCATAGTCCTCCACCACAAAACGTACCATGGCCAGCTGTGGAGTGTGGATGGTGAAGCGCAGAGTGTCATACCACACAGGATTAAACCCTGCAGAAGGGACAAACCGTTGACAAACCAGTGTCAGCACTCCTGCTGCTAAGTCCTAAATGTGTAGAACCAAGCCAAATCTGACATCCATCTATTCATTCATTCATTCCCTCCTTCATTTATTTCTACAGGGTCTGGGTCCACAGAATCTCCTGTACCATTGTTCTCAATGTATCTGGTCTCCTGCTTGGCCTGGTCCATAGGAACCCCATGAATCTCCACTCTGACCAGAGGATCCACTATAGAATCCTCTTTGATGTTGACTTTGGGCAGCTGCTGACCACTGATCACCTTAAACACATAAACACAGTGTCCTCAACAGAACAACGAAATAGGTAATAAACTGTAGGCATACATGTTGTCTTACTTCCTGTGTGGTTCGTACCTGTATGGTGAGGACAACAGGCTGGTAGCCGTCCCGTTTTTGGGGCGTCTCAGGGTCAAATCTTTTCTCCGCCTCCTTCATAAAACTGGGCTTTAGGACGTAGCCGCAGTTGCCATTCTGACTAAACAGTCCGTCATTCAGATCCATCCCTTCCCCAGCAGTCTGGAAATTCAACGCAACTGAATGAAAAGGAAAAGAAGATGTACTTTTTTGCTTCTTTTTTTTATTATTTGGATTCACAACACACTGTTTTTCAGGCACTTTGAGAGAATGAAAATATTATTAAAGCTGCAAACTGACTCAGATATGAACTAAGATATTAAGACTTTAAAAAGATGAAATAGAGCTGGACTTAAAAGCTTGCGGTATGAGAGGAAAGGTACAGAACAAGCGTCGGAAGTTAATGGTAATAACTAGACAGGTATGCTAGCTTGCCAAGATGTTAGGCATGCAAAACTAAATGTTGCCTACAGACCATAATTCATGTTTAACGTCAAGGAATTGTGTGGTACAACGTACACAATCTTGGTTTTAGAACAGAGTAAGCGCTAGCGATGGTTGTTACGATGTTGTCTAAGTAGGTGGGTTTCGCAGCGAAAGATGAGCATTGACTACGCTGTCCTGACTTCAGTGCTCGAGCATGTTTGGTGTCACTTTAGGATCACAACTCACATGACTGCCATAAAAAGAATAAAAGGCACATGACATGGACATCCTAAAGCTAGCTACCCTGTTAATATTTTGTTATCATACGTTCAAACTAGTCCTGGAGTAAGGTCCTATGTATCCCTTTCTGTTATCCAAACCTATTGGGAGCTGCAGTTGTTTGCTGTATAACCCAGTTCCTTCCCATTTTGTCCTGTCTTGATTTAAGTTGATAAGAAGGAATTGCTAATGCAAACTGTAACCCAATACAGCATTACTAGTGAAAAAAATACTACGGACAGAAATACAAATGATTAAAGGAAGGAGGTCTAAACGCCTGAGATAAAGTCAAGTCTGTCTTTCAGTTTCAATCACCAATTTGGCACCCAGCGTTCCACATTTCCTGGGGATTGAAATTGGAGGAATCAGTTCGGAAGCCACTGGGATAAACCCTGGTCAGCTGCCGCGAGTTATGGTGCACAAACTCGGCCCCTGAAATGGAGATAATATCAGAAATATAATTAAAGTCGACAAATAGGGTGTGACTGAAGCCCCTGATACATGTTATTGTGTGTGGATCATAAACACAGTCAACTTTAGTCATTTTCATACTGAAAAGTTCAGAAAACTCTAACCCCTAATTTAAGTATTAATTGTTTCACCATGACATAACATGTATTAAATTACTGTATCTATCATAAGCTTTACATTTTAATATCTGAGGCAGAGAGGAATGATAAGACTAGACTCACCAGCCTCCCTCAGGTGTTTGCGGGCCTTGGACTCTGTGAAAGAGGCCACCTCATAGAACTTGGAGTGGATGCGAGAGTGTTTGAAGCTACTGAAGTGGACGCTTTTGCAGTAAACAACACAATCTGACAACTCCTTGGACAGACGTTGCTTTGACCTCTGTGGAAACACGAAGACAACAGATAAAAAAGGTAAGACACTGATAAATGCATTTGGTTAATATATGTGGGTAGTTTATAAAGTCATCAGCAACCTACAAGACAATGATCAAAAGTATGGTTTTGTATTAACATAAAAAGTTAGAGATTTGAGAAACAGTGTCCATCTACTTTGTCTGTGTTTGAGCACAGGCTCGGATCGTATCGATCAATGCAAGGGCTACAGAGATTTATGAGCGGCCAGGCAGCGGGATAACAAGGGCAAGTGTCATGAAAGCATTTGTGTTGTTGCCATTTTCCTGTTGCTAACTCTTAATGCTTTTACAAAGCTGTGAAGTGTTGATTTTCCGACAGGGGAAACAGCTAATAGGTTCAACACCAGACTTACTTGAATTGCTGAACAAATCTGAGATGTGGGCAAAGATTCAAAGGCAAAGGTCTGGAAAGAGGATACTAGTCAAGGCCTGTTTTTTTCTTTTCTAGACTTGACAATGTGTGAAAGAGGCATTTAAACCTCTTTGGGCCATTAACACCTTGAAGTCACATGACGCTCATTGAGCTTGACCCTTGAACTGGCTAGTCAGCTGATTGTTATTTCAATCGCTTCCACGTGATAGGGTAAACCCTTGTGATGGGAAGGAATCCTGTCATGGATGGAAGCGCCAGGCATATCCAAACCTTGAGACAACCCCTTTTTGAATTGCGTAAGTGATCCTCGACCACAATGCCAAAGAAAAGCAGGTGTGCTGCCAGGGTAGCTTCCATGACTGTAGAGATCAGAGGTGTGGCAGACCCAAACACTACTATGACAGTGAAACCTGCAGAGCACCTCTGCATGCACGCCTACCTGCTTCCACATGAAAGCTGATCTGGCTGGTCTACCCAGGCTTCAGAGTGTCAACCCCCCCCGTCTACCAGACAGCAAGACAGCCATCTATCCAGACACCTAAACCATCAGTAGAGGCACCGCCGAGCTCACATCACTGCCAAACTCGACGCTGGCCTCACCTCTGCTGACCGTGCTGACAGGAGTCCCAGTGTGGCATTTCATGCTTCTCAGATGCTTATCAATAAACATGACTTTAAGTGCCCAATGATTCCTTTACACACGTAGTTAGCTGCACTGGACATAGATGCACATTCACCATCAAACATTATCCTCTACAGAGTGTAACAAATACAAATCCATCCTACGGATGTGAAAAGCAGTAGCATGAGATAGGGCCCTGAGCAGAACTTGTCCCCCATCCCCAACTCTCTTAAATAGTTTCAAAATGAACTTTGCAATGTGCAGAAATGTTCCGAACACCTCATTCTACAACTACAGTGCATTTGCATTCTTGCAAAAAATGGAATTCGCTTTGTGTTTATGTACATGAGATAGGCACCGTAGCGGGCGAGTGGGCAGTGGAACCTAGCTCAGCACCTTCCTATGTCCTTTCTTGGTATTTTGTAAGTTTATCTTCTTTATTTATTAGACCTGAAAAGCTAAGATGTGTGTAATATAGCAAATTATTTTAAGCTCTAAAATCTCTTAGTGTTGCATATTGTAGGAGGAGTGTGTAGGATTTAGCATCTAGTGGTGAAGTAGCAGATTGCAACAATTTGAATTCAGCTCAGCCTTCCATGCATGTAGAAGAAACCACAGTAGCTTCAAAACTGACAATAAATCCTCCTAAACACATTTAAAGGCTTATTAGACAGAATGGAACAACAATTTGTAACACAGGATTTTACGACTTTGGAAATTTGTCAGTGGCAACTTTTTTATCTTTTGTCACAGTGATATTTAGGTAGACAATAGAAATACAGCATTCATGTTACACAGTAATCCAGCAGGATTACTTGCATTTGATTGGCCAGCACAGCACCTTGCAGGATGATTGTGCTGCATTGCGGCAAAAGTTGATCCTGGTTGACCTTTTTGCCAAACGACCCTGCATTTTTTTGCAGCATTTTCTTCGCGCAGCGTTAAACTGAACACTGCAAACTCCATCTTCTGAGCAAAATATGATAGAAAATTCTGGAAAAAGCTGTTCCTAAATCAACATTGTAACGTGTTTAACGTGTATGCCATTTGCATTAACCTTTATGATGACAGAGTTAGCAAAAGAAAGGGTAAAAAAAGAATCAATTTTAACATAAAGGAAAAAGGAAATTTAACACCATTTTAATATCTCTTCTAAGTTGGTTAGATACAGTATTAGTACATTTGCCTTCTAAAAACTGCAGTTTCAAAGTTTTGCTAGGTCAAATGGTTGACTAATGACTACTGACAAATTCCTTATCAGTTTCATTATATATTTATGATGGCTTTAATTATTTGTTTAGTCTTTTAGGAACCTGTCTTTAAGTTAAATTTCCAAATTAAATTTATAATGTAACAAAACTACTGTTAATGACACAATATTACATTTAATGACCATGTCTGTTGACAAGTTATGTTATCATACTGTCAATGGTTACTATTCAAAATGCCAACATTTAAAGTGTTTTATTTTAATGCATTCAGAAATGTAGCCAAAAAGGCTACACTTGATATTTCATTACTTAGAGACTCTACACTTCAGTATTTACCAACAGAGGTGATTACTGACTGCAATTAGTGCATATCAAGTATCCCATTTTAGAAAAGACTGTACAACCTTCACCTTGTGGAACTTAGCCTAGTTTGGCCTAGTCTGGCTTGTCACGACAGAATGGGAGAAAAAGCAAGCTTGAGATCCTATCGTGCTTCCTTCTGTCTTGTCTACTTTTACATTTGTGTACAGTGGTAGAAGATGTGCATTCCCTGTAGTTATGTAATAGCTGATATATCTTTTATAGTTGAAAAGTGTCAAAAGATAAATATTCTTTTTCTAAGGCCTGAGTTTTTAACCTTAAAAAACCTTCAATGAAGTTTATTTCAGATCTGAATGTCTGTGTTAGAAGACATCAATGTCATGAGTATTAGCACAGTGCTGAAGCCTCATTCTCCTCCCTGCATCTGTCTTTCTCTGCTATCACAGTGTAAACAGATCACCTTATCTAACACCCAGTGTCTGCTCCCTGCCCTTCAATCCTCTGTATTTTTCATGAGGGATGACAGAAGTTTATGCAATCCTTTTCCGCTGGATAAAAAGGCGACCAGATTTCTGGGCGTCCCTGAGTGGCTTACAAAACACTCAAGCAAACTTACAACAAACACACATGAAAGGAGAACAAGTATCAAGATTATTTTAGTGTGCTGTAGTAAATCAGGGGCATAAAATGGTATTAAAATTACAATGATATA